TAAAGATTTTAATCGTCGTTTAATTTCAACGAGAGAGAAATACAATTTTTGGATTTTAATGTACGTTTTAATCGAAATATATAATAATTTCATAGTGAATAATTTTAGTTTTGTTTGAATCGTAAAAATAAAGAAATGCTATCATATATAAATTTTTAATATAAGAATCTATTATTCACATTAAAAATACATCGAATATAAATCATTAATTTTAATTAATTTCATATATTTATTGAATACTTTGCTCGCTGAAAGAAATTAATTTCGAAAAATAAAGACGTCAATATCTAAGCAACAATAAAATCGTGATCGCGTTATTTACTACGCGGAAGGCATTAAAGTATATCGAGGGATATAACATAAAGTGTATGTACTCGAGTAGCTGGTGAGATCGAGTGCCATAAATCGCTATACAGAGTATTTGCGACGCAAGCACTTAAAGGAACAAAAAATTCTGAATTAAAGCCTAATAAAAATCGAAAAATACATAAATTCTTTGAAAATACATATCTCTGAAAAATAAGCTTCTTCGAAAAATGACGGCGCGTTTAAAGAGAAATATTGTGCTTCAAATATTTTTTAAATGCACATGTATCATGATACGTATCATATTGATCTAAACATTCTGAAGTTTTCGAGATACATGATTATACTGTAGCATGTCTAAATGTCATGATAGTTGCATATCATACATTTCGAGCGACTGTATCATGACCCGATAGGGAGCTTTTATGAAAATTAAAGAGTCACTTATTCTTTGCACGATACACTATCGGGATTATTAATAGTATTGAGGGATGTGACATCAATTTTAAAAGCACCCGATGAAAATATCTCGAACGATTGCTGTAGTTTTTTTAAAAGAATATCAGAAAAGAATATCAATTGCTTCAGTTTTCCAAGATTCTAATTCTCGCTTAAACTTTTAAGTAAAACATTCCAACTCCATAAAGGTCAGAATGAAAAAAAAATTATTATCCAAACAGTTTAAAAAGAAACTCGAGAGATATTTAAAATCGAACTGCATAACACATTTATTCTTATATAAGAATGTTTTTTAAATAGTTAAAGAAATAGGTAGTACAATGATTAGAGAGAAAAAAGAAAAAAGAGGAAGAGAGAGAGAGACACTGTATTTTTCAACGCGACAATCGAGCACCGATGCGACACTTATTGTTAGTGTTGTTCCACTTCCTGCGATGTGACGGAACAATAAGAAACATTTCGTATGCAATGTTTTATGTACACACTGGTAGAATGCAGACCCGGCAACGTTCGTCTGTGCCATGTGAACTAGTTTAAAATCATTATAGACATCTTACCGATTTCATAATGCAAAATGCAGATATGAATTAAGAGTGAATGGGATAGAAACTGATAAGTCATGTTTCAGTTGAATAAACCGAGACGGACATTTTAAAAATTTTACTCGATGGGGCTCTGTCTTCCTTCGTATTTCCTTGTTCAGGAATTTTTGTCATTTATCTATGCTTTTTATGTTTTGAAATAATTATCTTTAATAATGAAGTATTATACTGTTCTCTATTATATGTATGTATATCTTTTAGTCTCATGCATGCATATATTGAAATATATTCTATACATAATGGTTCGAATTTAATGCAATTTAAATATCTAATTGGAAAAATATTTTTAATAAATTACCGTGACAAAGCTTTAACTTAATTCAATGCATTAATTAATATTGGTAAGATTATTTACATGCAAATTTCATTATCCATTTATAATGATCGCAATTGATGCAACATTTATCTTTCTCTCTCTCATTCATATGTTATATCTAAAAAAATCTAAAAAAATTAATTTTTTTATACTCGATTCTTTTAAATTATTACCTTGCTTAAAATAAAAATTTTAGAAAAGATATCAATTTATGGGGAGACAATTGTGATGAACGTATTGAACATCTGATAAGCACATACATTTTATTGATAAACACGTCGCGTGATGATTACAATTATATGCATTAACGAGAGGAAAGCATCGACGGATCATTTACATTAGCTGTGAAATTTTTGTTTATCGTTCACGTGAAAATCGGGGATTTAATCACGAATTACCTTGGGACGAGATCGTTGATCACCGATAAAATCATCGTCGTCGTGAACGGAATTCTGCCGCTGCAGCCGATAAAGCTGCGATCAATAATTCAACGTAGAGGATGTGTGCCTGTCTGGCCTCGAGGCGCTTAATGTAATACGATAATTCAATTCGGAATGTGTGTCATAATCGTTAATGGTTACTTAAAGACTAAAGTTCCGTAGTCAATGTAAAAGTTGATTGAAGGGTTTGACGAAAGAACTTTTTCCTCAAAAAAAAAGAAGAAAAAAAGATTTCATCTTTCGGTAACTTGGAAGATATATATATACGTAAACCTTGTTGCGAAACAGTCTGTATGAGGTGACCTCCACCTCAAAAATCGATCGTAGCTGGTTTTCGTTGCGAAACAAAGACGAATAAGCATACTTATTCAGGTAGTTTCCCGTTCATATTTCTGTCTGCCGCCATAAGTGAAAAAATGTTCATGATATTTCAACGATATCTCGAAGCATTTTCTACCTCTTGCTATTATTCAATATCTTTTATAAAAGCATCCATATTCTGCGATATTGTTGATAATATTCAAGGAAAATAACGATGTAGCAATGAATTACAGAAGCGAATTTATAAGTATTGCAATACATTTTATATATGTCTGCATATATATATGTGTAATTTTTTTAATTACATTCTAACAATGAATATTTATGTATGAGGATGATAGATGTCAGAAGAAGTTTTGTAAGCGGAAACCATGCATCAGCTGTCTTTATATGCAATCAGAGAGTCGAAAGGCGGGCATAGGGTGGCGAAAAGAGAAGAGGGGCTGGAGGATGAAGGGGTTGCTCGCGATCAGCCCTCCTCAGCCGCCCGTTCAGTGCTCGTGCGACCATCGTTGATGTAGGACGTATACTTGCGGCGTATTACGCGACTTCCGGCACATACAAGAGAGTTGTGAGCGCGTGGAGAGTCGGACGTCATTCGCACAATAAAGTTCGATGTTGTGTTGTATCGCGAAGCCAATATAGTAATATATAACTAACATAATGAGTTATAAATGTGGAAAAATGGAAACCGTGTTAAATCGTCGCTCCAATTATTTAGAAGAATTATATTTTCACTCGCCGGAATCTTACGTCATCGAAATTAAATCAAGTTCGATCGCAACGTCTTATATTTTCTAGCTGTGTTTTAGAGCTGTCGCGTAAAAAAATACGAACACACACACATACACTTACATATATATTTTACTTATACATATGATTATTAATCTCTGAAAATTTAAATTGAATAAATTAGCATTGATTTTAATTAGAGCAAATAAAACCTTATTGAATCAGTTAGTAATAATAGCTGATTTTTCATAAAAATCATACTTATAATCAGTGAAACGAAACGGAGGAGCAAAATATTAAATCCTGTCACTGCTTAAATCAATAACATTTTCATTCTAACAATAAGAGAGTATAGAATATATGAACGCAGAAGACTAATTAAGAAAAACAATATATTTTTATAATAAATATAGATATATAAAAATATATCAATATACAATATACGCGATAATATTCCTTAGTAATTGCATAATTGAAAAAGAATAGCTTATTTATTAAAAAATATCTACTTGATTAACAATAAATAAAAATGCGAAAGATTAGATTATATATATAACGTGTTGTGCATTTTATTCATTTTAAAATCTGGAACTTTGGAGATTTGTTGGTCCTTTCGCTGCAATGCAGTTATATTGAAACTTGCAGTTTGCAAAAAAATGCATTTGTGTGTATCGTAATGCAACGATATTATCACACGTTCAATCTACATAGATATAACGAATAAAAGAATTGTTTGTTATAATACCAGTACGTCTGTAACAACAATAATCTTTATGCGAACGACACTTAGACGAGATCAAGCCAGATTGTTCGATATCAGCTGATTGAAGAGGGACGCCTCTCACTAGCATTTAAATATCGCGTCAACAACATCGAGTGACGCAGAAACATGCCATACACGAGCATTTCTCAACTAAAATCCAAGAGTTCGAAATTTATGATTCTTACTCAATACGATTTATTAATCTTGTATTAATAAGAAACTTTTTTTTACTTACATATGTGTTATTCTTCATAACTTACATTTACATATATACATATTTATATAAGAGTTCAATTTTTATAAAGAAGTTGGGAATTTAAGTCAGAGATTAACAAAGAATTATTAATAAAGAATAATATACATATAATAAAATGATAAAGATTAACATTTTAAAAATAAATTTTTTGCAAATTATACATTATATATTAAAATATATTTATGAAATTTAAATTATTTTAAAAATATAAAAAAAGTGATTGAAATTCTAGATATGTATCTTTCGGAGAATTCTGGAATTTTCAATTTTATAAATACTTTAGTCATTTACTTTAGTCAAGAAACAAAAACATCAAATATATAATATTGTTATTGTTGAAATAATATGTGTTATTCAAAATTTTGCTATTTCAATATTTTTATAGGTTTTTAGTTGTAAGCTTAAAAAGGTTTGTGGTGTTGATGGCAGGAACAAAGATGTGATAAACGTTTTACCGCAGCATCGTATATATAGGATGCTATTACAGAAATACTGCAGAATTTTGTCACTCTCTCACCATATTCCTATTTGTCAACCAAATTAGGTCACATTAATGCGAAATAGAAAATGTCGACAAGGAATATAAAATAATAATTTGCATTGAATGATTGAAAAGTTATTTATATAATAGAAATTATTTGTAATCGTGACAACTGACGTTTCTTTGCTTTATATTTATTTTTTTATGTATGAATAATATTTGAAAAATATTAAATAATTATAATTCTCTCTCTCTCTCTCTCTCTCTCTCTCTCTCTGTATATTTTTTTAAATTTACACATAATTTTTTGCAAAATATATATAAATACAAAAAATCACTTGCGACGATACGATGATTATCGCGATAAATACTAGTGATAAAAGCAAACGTTAATTAATTATAATGTAATAATATTATCTAATAGGGAATTAACTTATCTAGTGATACTTGACGGAATGCAGCAATGTAGTGAAATATATGCGTGAAACTGTGCAAAAAACCGGGAAAAGGCCACGTGGCTCCCATCGCGCCTTATTAGCATCTGTAAAAGGAACTTATCGGGTATACCGGCCGACTAATCATGACAGATCATGGAAATTTTCCCACCACGTAACTAGAGATGGGCTGATGCAGCCGATTCGCGATCATGATCGTGATCGAGAAACGGTTATTAGGTCGAATACGTCGCGTCATGATCACTTCTCGACTTTTCATAAGCGCGAAAGCTACTTTTTCGCACTGGAGTTTCCGTAATATTGTTTTCGCGCTTTTGTGAAAAAAATCACGAAAGAGTGCCAAATGAAAATAGAGCAGGGTGTAGCATAGCACAAATTTACTCGACTCGCGTATTTTTACTTCGCGCGAGTAAAAACGATCTGCAACACGCAACACGCGTAACATGTTCGCAGACGCGAACGAATCAAAACGATGGACGAGAGATAATAGGATTCTTCTGAGGTAATTCGCGCTTTGACACGAACTATGAATGACAGATTATTTTTTAATTTTTTAAAATTCTTAAAATTAAAATACACATTTTAATATTATTAATTTGAGCTACTATCACCTGTTTAATATGCAAGTTATTATTATGAAGGTTGTAGAATGATATTTAATAGCGATACAATTGTGCTGATTAATCTAAATGTTACATTAAATCATTAATTTTGATAATGTTGATGTTACGATAATCCTGATTTTTAAATGTGATACATTATTAATGTACTACTATATTATTAATATATGTATATTAATTTTTATTTGTTTAATTTAATATTATTCTTTGTATTTAAATTATCATTATCAAAACATTTTGAGTTTTAAAAATAAATATCTTTTATTATGCATGCCTTTTGCAAGCAGCTTTAACATTTATCCGTCGGAGATATTCTTTTCAGCAGCAAGTCTCTTTTAAATAATATTATGAAATTATAGACATGAGGAAATAAGCCGATAAACGGATAAACATTAATAGAATGATGCATTAATTAAAGAGTTTTATCTTTCACAGAGTTGTTTTTAATTTTTCATGTGTATAAGAGAGAGAAAGAGGCTTGTTTGTATATCCTGGCGTGATATTCTTTGATAACCCCGGAGTCAAAAGTTCGTCAAGCATCGCGACTATCACAACCTCGTCAATTTAATCCTTCTCTCTCAATCATGAAATTAAACTTTATTTGTCTTCAACTCGTGTGTATTAACTCCGTTATAAATTCTCTCATATCGACGTTTGTATAATTTTAGCTACTGTTCTGCTCAGGGCACACAGTTAATGTATGACAGTACGAGATAAAATTCTTTGCTTACAATTAAATCTAAAACGCGCGGAAATAATAAAATATTAAAGCGAATGTTGATTTTTAGAATTGCAAATTTATTATTATTATATTATCTTTATTTAACTTTTTTGTAAATATGAACGTAGAGAATTTTAATAATGTTAGGCTTAATTATATATGTATATGTACACATAAATTTAATACCAAGAATAAAAAGATAATAAATCATACTTTTTTAATATTATTTGATTAAAAATTTGATTTTAAAAATTAAAATAAAGAATTTGCTTCAATATTTCACAGCATAATTACAAATCATTTTCTATGAAGCTAAACTTTACGAGATTTTATTTCATCTAAGAGAAAATAAGATTTCTTGAGACGGTTTTTTTTCTTTCTTGACAGAGCTGCAAAGGATCTTGAGGAACGTCGCAGTCATTACGAGCCATCACTTTATCCAGGAGTTCCTGATGACACCGATCATAGTTTCAAAATCGAAGAAAATGACTTTGTACCTCACTTCCAACGGGTTTCCATATCCGGCGAGGATACTTCCGGAGTGAGTCTCTATTGACAATCTTATAATAGTTGTGTGATTGATTTTTAGTAAATGTGCCATAGGATTTTCTTATATTTTTTGTTTTTTTTTCGAGGAATATAATTGCTGAATATTAATTATCATTTAAACTAAAAGAATTAAAATTATAATTGACATAATTTGAAAATGTAAATTATTACATGCTCTTAGCGAATAGTTGATTAATTCATTAATCATTGAAATATAGAAAAAAATGAAGTTATCTGATATCTGATTATTTAATATTTTTCGAAATAATGCGATTGCGCGAGATATCGACACACACATATCAGTACATTCAGTCGAAACGTAATTTCAACTTTATATTTCACGAATGCTATATTATGCATGACGTATCTCCCTAGAGATTTTGTGTGAAGTTGAAACCTTCGGACTGCGAAGACTTATGCGAGAAACCTTTAATCATCTAGCTCTCTATTTCTTTATATATACACATCCATATTATTTTATATAAAAAATACTTTAATCTCTAAAGAGTCAAGTTTCTTAACTTGATTGACCCTGATGTCAAATGTAATATATTAACATTATTTTAAAATTTTTGAGTCTATATATTTATTAAATTTTATAGTCAAATTATATTGTATGTATATAAATCATATTTTACTGATTTTATTGCATATGAAATAATTATGATAAGAAAGTTATAAAAAAAGTATTGCATATGAAATACTTATGATAAGAAAGTTAAAAAAAGTGATTTCGCTGCTTCATGCATTCAAGAATATAACTGTTTTAATTGTAAATTTGCTGTATATATTTTATATCTATTCTTATTTTAAAAATTGTACGTAGGTACCTCTGGAAGACCTTCAAAGGGCCTCAAAAATGTTGGTGCAGGCATTGGCAATACGCGAGAAATACATGAACAACTCTAAGCAGAGCTTTCCCTCAATTACTTCTAGATTCTTACGTAGTGTGGACAAAAGACCACTCACAACGGACGATGAAGTTCATCACGAAGATCGAAAAGCTATCGAAGGTAATTATTGTTAATCAGGAAACGAGATTCGATTCTTAAAGTTGTGTGTGAGAAATCCCATTGGATGTTTTATATCCTTGCCATATACGTTCCTCATTCCTCCCTCGTGCCATCGTAAAACTAAAAAAACAGGAGAAGCAACACGTGATTGTCGTCTCTCACGAAGCATTATAATCCAATTAATACTACTGTTTAGCGCTTCAAACGTCGACAGAAGTAATCGGCCGACGTCAAGCTATCGTTCGTGTAGTGTGTAATTTTTTTTCTTTTCTTTTTCGTCGCAATGCAATGCAACGATACGCGGATATGCGTATCCACGCAACTCTCTATGCGAAACTCCATGAAGCACAGTTTTTTACTTTAGCGTTATCAAACACTGCATATCTTACGTATGAACTGATGAAAAGTATACGATATTAGTTTTGTTATATATTTCTTAAGGGAAAGAACTGCTGGATATTGTGAACGAAATCAGAGAAGCTCGGTCCGACGCGGACATCGACGCGCTGATCAAAGACGTCTCTCGGACAGGTCCTCCTAGTGCCTATTAATATCCTTGCCTTAAATATCCTGTTGCACGCTGTTTTGAGTTAGCTACTTGACCATGCATAGTAGAGTTTCTCTTTTCTCTCTCTCTCTCTCTCTATCTATCTCTCTCTTTTTCTTTCTGTATCGCGCGAGATGATTTTTTTTATAAAAATAAAATAAACAGCGCGGCAACAAATAGCTGGCGCTCTAATAAAGCTAATACACATATTTCAATTAATTATTATTAGATCATCCGGTACATGCGCCCGCATCTCGGGGCGATCCCTGGGAATGTGAGTTTCCACCGGCGAAGAACTATAAGATTGTACCAGTCAACGGTGTGTTCAATATGTTCGCCAACGACGAGGACCTGGCAAATGGCAAACCACTTCCGTATTCGTATCCGGATATGGCGACCTTCGTCCAAGATATGAATCTGCTGTGCGCTATGATCGCCGACGGACCCCTGAAGTCTTTCTGCTATCGAAGACTGAGTTATCTCTCCTCCAAGTATCAGTTGCATGTACTATTGAACGAGCTCAGAGAGTTAGCGAGTCAGAAGGCGGTGCCGCACAGGGATTTTTATAATATTAGGAAGGTCTGTCATAGTTTGGCGAAACTTTATAAAATATATATAATTTTATATTTAACGTTATTTTATTATGAAGTTAGAAATGAAATTGCACCGTTTCAAAGTAATTTTTCAAGATGATCGCATCATTAATTTCAATATAGTCTAGAAAAAGTTTTTTTAATTTCTTTAAAATAAAACTCTTAATATTTAGAAACGTTGTGTCTTGCATACAAATCTAATAATGAGACTTTATAGTTTGCAAAGTTTGAGAAAAAGATTGCATCGACATTTTGAGTAAGAAAAATCAAACAAGATATTAAATTTTTATTTCAAGTTGACTCTTTTCGCTTTTTATATATCAACATAGTGTCATCGAATTGAAATAGTGTATGATTAATTTCACAGGTCGATACTCACATACATGCGGCTTCGTGCATGAATCAAAAACACCTGCTTAGATTTATCAAGAAAACGTTGAAGAATCACGCAGACGAAGTGGTCACTTGTTCCAAGAACGGAGAGACTATGACGCTACGGGAAGTTTTTCAGTCTATGAATCTAACGACTTACGATCTAAGCGTTGATATGTTGGATGTACACGCAGTAAGTGTCTTTCTGAATGTTTTTCTATTGCAATATATCAAGGAACCTTTCGAGAGAAAAAGTAATATGGTGCAATTACTAACACTTTTCCTTTCTTCGCAGGACAGAAATACATTTCACAGATTTGACAAGTTCAACGCAAAGTACAATCCAATCGGCGAGAGTCGTCTGCGTGAAGTTTTCCTGAAAACGGACAATTATTTGAATGGCAAGTACTTCGCGAGAATAATTAAGGAAGTCGCAAGTGATCTTGAAGAATCCAAATATCAGAATGCGGAACTGCGTCTTTCGATTTATGGCAAGAGTCCAGAGGAATGGGACAAATTAGCCAAATGGGCGATCCAAAGTGACGTTTCTTCGGACAACGTGCGCTGGCTTATACAGATTCCTAGATTATAGTAAGTGTATTTAGTTATGCGCGAGCATGAAATTTCTGAAAGATCTGACCAATTTTTACCGTTGCATTTTGTACATTATAGCGATATCTTCAAACTGAACAAGCTTTTGACGAATTTTCAAGAGATCATCAACAATATCTTCTTGCCGCTCTTCGAAGTGACTAATGATCCCCATTCTCATCCGGAGCTACATAAATTTTTACAATATGTACGTTCTTCTATTTCACATGTTATTCCTCTGAAATTCGTTTATTTATCTTTTTAAATATTATTTTATATTTGCTATTTTATTATCGTGACAGGTAATAGGTTTGGATTCTGTGGATGATGAAAGTAAGCCGGAAAATCCTCTCTTCGACAAAGACGTTTATCCACCTGCGGAATGGGATGACATAGAAAATCCTCCGTACGGATATTATCAATACTACACTTATGCGAATATGGTGGTCCTCAATCACTTTAGAGCGTACGTTACTTTACTGCAAAATTCTATATATTATTTAAAACAGTTATCTCGTAAAATAAAACATCCTCGATGTGAAACCTTTTACAGGGAACAAGGTTTGAATACATTTGTTCTGAGACCTCATTGTGGCGAAGCCGGACCCGTTCAGCATTTGGTGTGCGGCTATATGATGGCGGAGAATATTTCACACGGTCTGCTGCTCAGAAAAGTTCCTGTGCTCCAATATTTATATTACTTAGCTCAAATTGGCATCGCAATGTCACCGCTCAGTAACAACTCGCTTTTCCTAAACTATCATCGTAATCCGCTTCCGGAATATCTTGCTAGAGGACTATGTGTGAGCTTATCTACGGATGATCCTCTTCAATTTCATTTTACCAAGGTAAATAAAAATATACAATATACATATTATGTAATGATGTCATTTAAAATATATTTATATATTTGAAAAATAGATCTCATGAATAATCTCATTTATTATATTATATTAAATATATATAATATTAATTATATATAATTATATATAATTAGGAACCCCTAATGGAAGAATATAGTATTGCGGCCCAAGTGTGGAAACTTAGTTCGTGTGACATGTGCGAGTTGGCACGCAATTCTGTTCTCATGAGCGGTTTTCCGCACAAGGTGAGTCATTATAAATCAGTTCTTCAACTTTTTCGCTTACATGCAAAGGACAATAAAATAAGGAAAATTAAGGATCAAAATCTCTACTGCGCTCTATCAACTTTTTTCCTATTTCCTTATTAATGTCTTATCTTATTATCTTAATATTACCTTATATTAAGTTCATTCTAGATCTCTCGATTGTGTATTGCATAAATTTATTTAACGCGTCGATGCGATTTTGATCATGATGCGTGAATAATATCATGCAATCTCCAATTGTTTCTCATTTTACAGAGCAAACAGTACTGGTTGGGACCTAACTATACTAAGGAAGGAGTCGCTGGTAATGATATCACGCGAACCAACGTACCGGATATACGGGTAGCTTATCGGTACGAGACGTTAGTCGACGAGCTATCTAATATCTTCAAAGTTGTAGAAAAACCCGAATCACTTCCATTTTAACAAATTATTATTTGAGGTATGTCAGAATTGACAAGGTCAATTATCGCACGATAGCATTCTTAAGTTTATGGATTACAAATTATTTGTATATTATTTTCGCGATACTTTATTCTTCTAAATCGATCAGAGGATATTTCTATAAAGCGAGGTTGCCAATGAATTTTTTTTTAGGATATGTAACTGTTTCCTCTTGATGTATCAGAAATATATGACTCGAATGAAACTCGAATATCACTCGAATTGTACTTTATAAACAAAGTATAATCTTAAATAATTTTATAAATGTATCTTTTAAAGATGTGCGAATCAAAATTTTCTAATTCGAATCGAATTGAATCGAATTTGCAAAAAAAAAAAAAAAAAAACGAATCGAATCGACAAAAATATCGCTGAATCGAATCAATTCACCCATATTTCGAATTAGAATCGAATTAACGTGTATAGAATTAAACGGGTTTGAAGTCTTCTTACGTGGTTCTTTGATTCGAATTCAAATTGTAATGATTCGACATTATCAAATCTTTCGATTTCGAACTACGTCGATTCAAATTTGAATCGAATCGAATATTGCCAGATTCGATTCGATTTGATTCGAATTCGAATAATTCGCACATCTCTAGTATCTTTTATTGTGGTCGTAGATTTTTCACACGAACATGTTTGCGACATGTTTGTGACCATGACGTAAATAAATACAAAACTAGTGATCATAAGCAGATAAATGTAATTTAGCCGATTGTTGTAATTTGATGGTAAATTGTAAATTTAGTTTAAAAACTAATATTTACATTGAATGGTGAGACATGAAATGGTGCGTGAATCTTTATCGAACTTCTTACAATTTTCTTTTTTTTATAGAAACTTTAATTGTAAGGATAAATCAATCAGAGAAATTATATACACGTTGACCAATTTAATAATAGTTGTTAGAAAGTATTTCTTCTATTGTTGCAACATTAATAACACATACTAGCATATTGTATTGTAATAAGCTAGAATCACAGATGTTATATGTTCGTTTATTTTATAATTAGTATTTTAAGCCGTGATGGAATAAATCCGTTTTTCATATCTTGGCTGTGCTCGACAACAGCAGTACTCTTTCTTGGACTTTAGTTTTATTTTCTTACATTTTTGTACATTTATATCGTGAAACTGTGACATTTGTTTCGACGAGTATTGAGACAGCTGGCTCGTATGCGGATAGTTAACTCGTGCCATTATATACATTCTGTAATATCCTCCCTTTTCCACAAATAGATAATGTAAATAGGAAATTAGTTTAATTAGATATAACAAAATTTTTTTTACGAATTATATATACGTGCCAAGCAACAGTAAAAACTATGCTGTTTCCTTTTATCTTATTATGAGCTTTTTTTTTTACTGTTTTCTAACTATTTTCCGAGAAAACTTTCCGAACAACGAGCCTAATTAAGCGATATACGATCTATAAATTACTCGACTATAAATACTCGGAACACTGTGCCCTCATATCGAATTTAAATTAAAGTGTTGCTAAATAAAAAATATATTTATTGTAAAAGTATATACTACGAAAGACACAGAAATATACTTGTATCATTAAAACCGAATTTTAGAAATTATTAATGATATGCGCTACGATATAATCTTATTTACATCATGAAACGAATAGGTATATCTGTAGTAATTAAAATTAAAAATATGATTCTACATTTTATTCATTGCTTGAATTATATGAAAATTTAGTATTGAGGTAGTAAAGATTACATTTCGATTATTAGCTATTTTACAGAACCATATATATAGAAAACACTGAACGGCACTTATTATTTTCTCAATATTACATTTGTTTGAAAAACTAGCAATTTACTACCGTCTATATACTTCAAAATAATATTTTATTATATAAAATGATTTTATTATTTTATTTTATAAAATGTTTTTAAAAAAACTCGTTCAGAGCTTTATCATATATTTAAAAGAAATAAAAGGTGAGTGCGTTGCCTCATATAAGTTATTAATGTTTATATATTATATATGTAATATATAAAAAAACAATATTATACATATAATATCTACTCCACTTTTTTCGTCTTAGGTTTTTGTAAGCTTTGCATAATCTTTGGTGCTACTTCAGTAAATATGACTGTACCTATGAAGACTAGTAGCGTACCAATCCAATGATATATAGTAAACGGATTTTTGAAGTAGATAATAGAGAATAACAGAGACATAAACTTTCGCAGCGTTATTACTAAAGTAACTGTGAGGGAACTACACTCTGTCGTCAAAACGAATACAGAGCTGATGCATATATATCTGAAAACATAAATTAAGGAAAATATTTCGGTAACGTGATAGTATATTCATCAGGTATATGTGTGATATTGCATGTAACATAAAATATAGCTGCAATTAGAAAAGGATACTGCGTCACAACGTTTCCAATTAAATATACAATTAATGATGGCACTTGTATATTAAACAGTATCCTCATCGGCTCGGATGCGAGCGCAAACTTCCAATGTTCGTAAATATTAGGCGCTAGTGTTAAGAAGAATGGCATAGGTAAAAAATGCTGTAAAGATATTTTATATATTATATTGAGAATTATAAAACATGCGTAACGTTGATATGTAATATCAGCAAGCAAGAAATGAGGAACTTACTGTGTAAAATAAAGCTTCCCGCGCATTTTTACCATACCGGCTGTACAGCGTTTCTTGGTAGATGCCCATTCTAGCAGAGATGAATAGAGCTATTGTGAGTAGACTTATTCCCAAACTCCACCAGAAGAAGTCATCCCATGGTGTCGTGGCCACTTGCTCCACGTTTTTCTGTTGTAAGGACTTGATCTCTTGACTGCTAACAATTGTGCAGAGTACTATTCCCGTTGTAATCATGAATACTGATAAATATTTGCTAAATGCATATTTCTTCTTTAGAATAATAATACCCATAATCATATTGGCTATGAGGGAACCCTGAAATAATGCGTATATTAAAATGCATATTATATATGGTAGGAGCAGGTAATTTGTATCCACCAAACTAAATTTATTTGTAAATATAAATTTAACATATATAAGATAGGCAATAAGAGCCAAATCGCGGATGACAGTGCGTTATTCTAAACGAAACTAAATTTTTTCGTTAGAATTAAATATCTGTGCACAAGGCACCAAATTTTTACTTGGACACGGCCAAGATATAAAATTGGAATAATCTCTACAAGAGATTTTTAATTCCATGTATCCCCTATTCCCCCTAAAGAAATAAAGTGCGAGAGAAAAATATAGATCCGAAAGTCGCAGAATCGGGAATCGATCCCGAGACCTTTCGCTTGCCGGGCGACTGCTCTTCCAACTGAGCTATTCAGATCCTTTATTAAAGGATCTGAATAGCTCAGTTGGAAGAGCAGTCGCCCGGCAAGCGAAAGGTCTCGGGATCGATTCCCGATTCTGCGACTTTCGGATCTATATTTTTCTCTCGCACTTTATTTCTTTAGGGGAATAGGGGATACATGGAATTAAAAATCTCTTGTAGAGATTATTCCAATTTTATATCTTGGCCGTGTCCAAGTAAAAATTTGGTGCCTTGTGCACAGATATTTAATTCTAACGAAAAAATTTAGTTTCGTTTAGAATAACGCACTGTCATCCGCGATTTGGCTCTTATTGCCTATCTTATATATGTTAAATTTATATTTATATATTACAGAGCCTAGTTAAACTCTAAATTTATTTGTATTTACTTACTGCTCTAAATATCATATGCAATGGCATGGGAATATTAAAGTCAAAGGCATAATTGTTACAAACATTAGTAATAAAAAACATTGCGACTAAAATAAAGTAATCCTTTAAGCCTATATTTGGTTTGACTGTGCCGCATTTCGCAGTAAATAGAAATCCTTCAAGAGATATAAAGAAAAATTGTGAAAACGTAATAAGGTTTCCACTGCCAGGATCATCCCTGTGTAATCAAATAATCAACATTTGAATGAATATATTCATTATATTATAAAAACATACAAGTACTTGCTAGTGGACTTTAGTACTTAAAATATTCTTGGTATTCTTAAAATTTCCTCTTACTAGTGAAATTAGTTTCAATCTTTATTCAAGTCTATTCAGTCAAAAGCTGATATGATAAAAAAGTTGAATATATTAAAAACAAGTATGAAGCTTACAAAGCGCAGAAAACATTAAATACTGAATTGTATAAATATCAATACTTATGTTGACCTGAATAGAGTGGAAAATTAGGAGAAAAAACGAAAATGTGTGTATGTGTAGAAATCCTTGGGGATGCGTAAGAAAAGAAAAAACAGCGCATGTAGAAATAGAAGATGCAAAGTGTGTATATGTCTAGTAATCAATAAATTAGTGGTAAATTAATTGCAAGACAAGAAGATAGAGTATAAAATAAGTAAAATAATTTTATATGCATGCATAAGAAGGGGAGCAAGTTGAGGAAAGATGTACAATTTCTGTAATTTTAAGGGAAACCGATAAATAAAAAAATGTATAAAATAAAGATATATGTACCAACCAGAATATATTCAGATATATTTAGATTTTTCCAAGAATAGAAGCAAATGAATATTAATTTAATCATCAATTCTAATATACTACTTTTTTATTTCATAATATTAAATAATAAGTGATGATTGCTGGACATATTGATACTATTATCGAACAAAATTTGAAAGCAGTATATATGCATATTACTTTTAAATTAGATCAGATTATCAGATGTGAAGACGTTATTGATAAATAAAAAAAATTATAAATAATTATATATATATAGTATATATTGCATTTTATATGAGTACATATAAGTACACATTTTTTAAATGTAATACACATTTATTCTCTCTATGTGTTATGCAATATATTAAATCAGCCGAGTCATACTCACTTAACAAGCAGTTCCAGGAACACGACATTGGTGCAGCAACCAAGGAAAACGCATAATATCGCAATGATAGCAGCCGCCTGCATCGTGCCGTTCTCGAGATCTGTTTTTTTCTCCTTTTATCAATCACACACAATTCTAGAGCCCACGGGCTGTATATCAGCAAACACGATTCACCATTCGAAGGCAATCCATCGGCACACTGCGTTGGATGACAGACACAAACGTCAACGCTTCACTTAACAGATAACGTAATGAATGGTGCACTTATATCACGGCTTGAATTATGTATACTATGGTTTGCAATATAGTAAAACTTGCGGAATAAATAGAATCCCTCCTCTCTCTCCTCTGCTTCCCGCCTGTATCTATCTGTCATCCGCTATTCTGAATCAGCTGTTTCTCTAAACTGCACTTCCCATTATTTGCACCTGTCGTTGGTAACCACGTGTTTAGAAACGTCAAAAACGTTAAATGTCAGATGTCATAGAAGATAGACGAAGTCTATTTTGCGAGGAGAGAATTTGCGTTAGAGTATCAATAAATTCAGATTCAGATTACTAAAATCATAAGTATAAAATTGCTATAAATTTCAAAAAATATAAACAAGAAATATACACATAACCGCAATGTCACATATGATTTGTTGTCGAACGAAAAATTTCTTAAGAAATTATCGATTGACACTATTTGTGTTTTTTACTGTGTCAAAAAAAATTAATAAATAAATAGAAGAATGTACAATTAATTCTGCTTACTTTCTTTTGTGTAGGGTCGTGAGGAAGAGAGAATGATGCAAAACTGTTTTCCTTTTTGAATAATTTTGTACGTTTGTTGGAAATTAAGAACGAAGAAGTGATTCGAAAAGCCTCTAATTCCCTAAATAAGTCAATTTTGGATATATATTGGACAATTGTAAGATTGCACGACTTCACAAGTTAATAAGGGGAATTTTTTTGCCAAATAAATATTGCCAGCATAATAATGTTGAATTTTTTAATGTATACCATGGAATATCGACTCGAAAAGTTGCGCCAATCTGGTACGTAGATATAAGAATAATAATCTTCAATAATATTCAAAACAATGTCTATTACAGTATCTATTGAATAATCGTTTAATGTTGATTTTTAGAAGAAATAGAAAGAAATAGAGAAGCAAATACAAGCAAGAATGCTGAAAGTATCAATATTAGTAAAACATTTCTAAAAATTCTAAAATCATCATTTGAAGTAAAAATTCTATATGGAGATAAGAACAGCTTTAAAAGGGGGAAGAAAATTAAGAGTGCGATAGAAGTCAAGATGAAAAATTTATTTCAAAATGTAACTACTTCAACAGAAACAGGATTTGATGATATTATAGCTCTTGCGGTAGCTTATTATAACTTGGGTGAGTTACATTTAGAAGATATTAAATTAGAAGTTGCTGAAGATAATTTTATGAGATGTATAGAATTGTTGAATGGAAAAGAATTGGATTGTAAAGCTATTTTGACAGCTATACGGGTGCATCTCCAGCTATATTATGTTTGGATAAAAATAAAGAAGTTGGAGAAGTGTTTTCCATTGTTAGATAAAGCAATGGAATTATATTTAAATTATACAAAAGAGGATGAAGATGAATATCCATATCCTATCGAAATAGCAACTGTTTTGCATATTCAAAATATAACACTAAACTCCAAAATAGTTCTGGCTGACCTTCATACAATAACTTTAAAATTATTAATGGAGCAGTATAAACTTAAACCTATAGATAAACATAAATTTGTAATATATGTACATAATTTATTAAACAAAGAATTGATTGAAGGATTAAAGACAGATAGCACAATATCTATATTTTGGGCAAACACCGCAGCTGATTTATGCCTTTACTTTGTTCATCATGATCTCTTTATTGAAGCCAGAGATCATCTTGGCGCTGCAGATTGTATGATGGAGATATATTTTAATACGATGTGCGAAAAACAAAATACAAGTAATTTAAGAGCTGAGATAAATGATTATGAACTATTCTGTGCAAATATTGCTATACTCTGGGGAAAGTATGGAGTTTTTCTTTTGCGTTCATCAATCGAAAATTTACCACAATATGATAAATCTTGCGAAGCGAATAACATAAAATTAAAATCTCTTGCAAAATCTAAGGAGGAATTAACGAAATCCTTAACATTTATTGACTTAAAAAAAAATTTAGAACACATCGAGATACCAGCTACATATGTGTCAAATCTCAATGATGCCAAAAGAATTTTTTCGCATATTTTAAAAACGTTTAATTTAGCTAAAAAATATTATACTGTAGACAAGAATATTTTCTGTTATATGGATATAATACTACATATTTCAGCAGCATATGAATATTATGCATATTTTGTAGATGACGATATAAATAAATTAAAACTAATTAAACAATGTATAAAAATCTTAGAAAATGCTGTTAGTAATGTAGTTATAAAATGTAAAACACTTGAAGAATATCAACTTGTCAAAAAATTTTATTTTAAACTAGCTATTTGTTATTCTACGCTCTTGAATATGACATCTGAGAAATTCAATGACATTGAAGAAATTACTGATGAGATGAGAATGGAAACTAAGCAATTAGTGAAAAATATCGTTGACAATTTTACATTATATTTAAAAAGTACTTAAAATTTTAGCTCTTATTTCTGTATATTTAATTTTAGATTTTTTTTTAAATTTTTAATGCATTCTATTTGTAACATTATATTGAAAAACAGTACATGTATTGTGCTTTTTTTACTGTACAAATATAAAAAAACATGATTCATTATGAACTATACTGTGCAAATATATAGCTATACTCTGAGGAAAGTATAGGCCAAAAGTCATCTATTCTGTCTATATGTTATGTTTAATTTATCAGTATATAAAATTATAATATCTTAAACATAAAATATATTTATATAATATATATATGTATATGTCGGCTGTAGACCCTAATGCGATGTCTATGTATATTATTATTGTATATTATAAAATATTTAATTTACACTTAATTTTTCTAAGCATAGATGAGACCAACATGAATGTTGCAAACAAAAGGCTTGAAAATGTAGATATTTAGAAATTTGTATTGTATTTTTTTATACGATTTTTTTATTATGTACATTTACTAAAGAGTATAATAGATTTATATATTATTATATTATATATTAACGAAAGAAAATATAATTTCTTGAATTACAATACTTATGGTATTAATTTTGTGATTCTGTCTGATTTTATATTATCTCTTATACAATTATATTCGTATAATATATGTATATATATAACTTTTTGTGTTTAATTGTAAGAGAACGTCCTGTGGAGTCCTTAATTAAAAGTTCTCTAACTTTGATATAAAAATAAAATAAAAGAGCTGCACACACATACACATATATATATCTTAATTAAAATTTAAAAATTTTGCAAATATATTCTCCTATTAATTCAAATGATTTTTTGAATTATTAAAAGATATTTATTGCACTATCATCACTGTAAAATATATTCTCTTCGTGAAATGCATTACTAACCAAACCTCTTCTCAAAATATATGCATAGTATGTATGGTTGTGTGTATATGTGTGTTAGTTTATTTCTTACTCTAGTCGCAATATTTCGTGAGGACGCTGGTGCACATTATTTTACATTCTGTGCAAACTTCCGCAAGAAATATCGATTCTCAATAAGATCTCATCTCAATTATAGGCTATAATATTGTGAATATATATTCTGTTATATTAGTGCATTATTTAAATATTAAATTAACGACCATAAAAATATTTATTGATTATCATTGAAATGGAAGTTGTCAATCAAGCTGATGCTATCGACGAGAGGTATGTATACAAGTGCATTATTATATATGCAAATATGTATAAAAGTGTATATTTAATTTATATATATTATGTGTATATTAAGTATATATTTAATTTTTAAACAGAATTTGTGTTATTTATTCGTTACGAGTTCATTATTTTTGTTATATATATAATAACTTTTATCTCCAAAATATCTGACAAAATATCTGTTTATGTTTATATAGTGCAGACGAAAATACGATGAACGATGAAGCTATTGGTGTAGTTTTGGAAGAGGCAGAGATAGTGGATTGTGATGCTGAGGCTGAGGCTGAGGCTGATGATGACAATGTACAGTATCATCTGTATGCAATAAACAGAGGTGACAATACAGTGGCATACAAAGTGATGCAAGTCAGCAGTAATCACAGAGAGAACAATGAAGTTTCGATAGCCACCCCTGTGAATAACACTGTGCAAGTTTTGGCTTCGCCCTTAAATGGACAATTATACGTACTCAGTAATGGCAATGATGTCGTAACATCAGAGTCTGCAAGAGCAGCCGCACCACGTGTAACCAAACTGCAGCTAGAAGGACCGCAGAATATTATTGCAAATGTAAAAAAGGTATTTCGTATTACTGTATTGCATTTTACATTACTGTTATATTTCTACTTGAAAATATTAATTATATTATTTTTATAGAGAGACGAAAGGCGTAGAGTAACACACAATGAAGTTGAGAGACGTAGAAGAGATAAAATTAATAATTGGATTAATAAATTGGGAAAGCTCTTGGCAGATTGCGATCAAAATGTGAATAAAGAAGGAGATGCGAAAGCAAATTTTGAACCACAAGTATGATATTTGCAAATTTTTAAATTAATATTTGGACAATTTAGTATAATATAAACATTAGTTTTCTATTATTTTTCTATAATGATGATTCCCTAATTTATTTATAGAGCAAAGGAGGTATACTAGCACGAGCTTGTGAGTACATTATAGAATTAAGAGACGCTCAAGAAAAACTATCCCAGAGTATGGATGAAAGCGCACAATTGATCGAAGAAGCTAAGACTCTTCGGCAAGTTGTAAGTCAATTAAGAGAGGAAAATTCAAAATTAAAAGTCCAAATTTCAAAGCAGAACAGTACATTTATACTCGGTACTTAGATTAGTTTTTGGACATGCAAAAGTTTGTTATTAGTGCTTTATGTTAAAGTTAATATAAATTAAATTCTTATTGTTAGTATATAAATATATCTTTTTTTATCGCATTATATAAAAAAATAAAAAAAGAAAATATGAATAAGAATAAATGAATAAAGTGTAATAGTTACAAAATGTTTATTTACATATATCTGTGTAGCTCAGGATATATATATGCATTATTTATATATGTGTACATATATATATATATAGACACACACATATATATATATATATATATATATATATATATACTTATATAATTGTAAAATAATGACAATCATATCATATAACGTTCTACTGTACATATCATAAACAATAATTATTTATAACATGAACAATCGGTCTCGCAATGACAATTCAGCGAAATCGTTGAAAATCAGAGAAATATACAAATATACAAAACAATATCATTGATTGAATCAACAATTAACCATATCCATTAACATCAGATATATTGCTTAATAGTAGAATTCACTTAATTACTACAAAAACGTGTTGAAATTGTTTGTTTCTATTGAGTAGATCTACGGTATTTACACTTACAAAATACATCTATATATACAGAAAACAGAGTGATACATGTGATATCTCTGTGTTTTTCGTCTTAGATCATTAATGTAATTAGAGATCTCGCTACAAAAAACTGAGCTCTGCTTTTCTCCTGTCGTCAGAGTATGTACGTATGATTATCGATATCAAATCTCAGGGAAAATATACGTTTATATAAACGCGTTATGTTTACATAACAGCTTAAAGTATCATAACAGTAACGCTTACAGTACAATACTTATTGCTTCAAAGCGCATTTCCTCAAATTTTGTGCAGATCCTGCCTGACGGTTCCCAAAAGTAACAGTTTCTAGCGGGGATAGACAAATATATCCTCCGAAATACAAATTAATCAATCATCTTGCGAGATATGTAATTCATTTGCCAATAATACATGGGAGTCTGTGAGTGCGAGGTATGAACTTTCACGTATTTCGATTACTTGTCTGTCGTGAAATTGTAAGTATTATTCTCATGAGTATGGAAAGTTGTGCTGATAATCGTGCATTACTCGAATAACGCGCCCGAAGACAACACAAACCTCATGGAAGGATGCCTGTAGAAGCATTTAAAAGACGTTTCTGGAACATCCAAAAAATGTCTTTTGTAGACTTTCATGTTGTTCGGGATATCCTCGCTACTTATCCTTCCTATAACGAGTTACATTTGTTCCTTATACTTACGTTGGCCATTATTTATTAAAGCAGTCCATGTGTATAATTGCAATACTTATAAGAAAAATCACATTCAAGAACCAATGAGTAGTCTCTTCTATAAAAATAACTCTGAAATGAGTTGGGTCCAGCAACAAATTGCGTCCTCTCCTAAATCTAAACATCAACAGGCTAATGATCTCTTTGTACAGTAGGAATCTTGATCCATTCATTTTATCATTATATTGTCCTCGTCGTATATATAGTAAATTACGTGCTGTCTCTCGAAAACAAGTAAAAATATATTTTTCTGTGTGTGTTATATAAAACGTAAATATCTTCTTTCGCCCAGAACTGCCACACATTCGTACATAAACGTTATAAATAAGACAAAATATCGCGCTTTCGTCCCTCGAGATAGAGAAAATCCGGAGTTACCGATCTTCTTTTCTATTAAAGATCGGGTCAAATAATTCTAAAGAACGAAGACGTATTTCTTTAAACTAATTGGCAGTGTTAGAAACTTTCAGGATCCGTGATTAAACTGTTGAAATTGCTAGATCGAACATTTTTTGCCAAGGGACTGCATACATATATGTATATATCATTATAACAGAGATTCTTCTGTCGAGTTAACTGATTCTTTTTCTGTACAAGAGTAGAAAAACTTGAAAGATTTTCTCCCGATCATCTTTTTTCCTCTCTCTTTCTTTCTTTTTTTAGAAGCTTGTCGCTTCGCATCGCAGTAAGAGGCGTGATATGCGAGTATTTACATATTCAAATCGCGTTTTTTGTATATGAATAATACTGCTGCTATGTTGTTTCGTGGAAACAAAATTTTTTCCCCTTTTTTTTCGCTCCTGTTTCATCCCTTCGTCTCTCTTCTATTTCCCCGCTATCGCAATTCCGTCCCAGATAGTCACAGTAATTATTATGATATCATTTTAACGTCAAAATAACTTAATTTGACGTCAAAATGACTACTTTTGCTATCTGGGGTACAAACTACTGAGTATTACAATTACAATGCGAAATAACGAACATTAGTTAGGCAGTAAGTTACCTTGTATAGCTCGCTGGAGATTTTTTTTCTAAGAAATACATCTATGTTTTCGTTGAGAGAAAAGTGGTGTGCGGAATCGGCCGAAAATTGATCGCGAAACTAATTCGGATTTTGTGATTGAATTTGGCTAACACAGAATTGTACATAATATACTACAAACGGTGAGTTTTCTCGTTGTATCTCTTTCACAGAAAATTGATCGACAACTTTTAAAACAATCAAATAATCTTAACAAATTTCTTAATCGATCCCATCGCATTTCTCTCTCAAGTTTATAACCGGTTTCCCCCCGAGGAAGCATCTCGGTCGTCAGTCTTTCGATTACAATAAAAAATACAGCCGTACGATACATCCATACCATCCATAGCCGTTCGATCCAAAAAGCGATTGCGCATGTAACAATACATATCTATTATAGTTCATCGGCATTTATCATGAATTCGCGATGTGAAGAGTGACTAGTACTTTCTCTTTAGTACCTTAGAAGCCTGCTATTGACTTTATACATTCACTATTTACTCTTCTAGCTCTCTAATCTACCTGCATTGGCTATTATTAACGATAGTTTTTAATATCAAGCATCTACAAAATTGATTATACATTTCCCTCTTGGTTAGTAACAAATTTTTTGCCTCTCCAAAACATCTTCTGGATAGTAGTTCTCGAATTGAACATTGACAATGTTACATCGAGAGCAAAATCATGATCGAACATTGGTTTCAGATCGGATACAGTTAGGGAACCATCGATTCGAAGCATTACGAAGACAGTTCTGATTCAGATTATAGATATAATGAATGATTTTTGTTAATTTACATATGGTATATACATTTGCAATTATCTAATTTGGACAATGATACTATCTGTTTGGTAGAGAAGCACCTGCTTTCATGAGAGAGGCAGTGAATGAAAAATCGTTGAAATTTATGCTTTTGGATCGCCGCGCGATTCATTACAGACTATGATCATGGAATCGATGGCGATTGCTTTTTCTACTTTAAAAGAAGAGCTATTTTATAGGACAACATTTTCACATTTGAGTTATTTAAATACCTTCGTGCCGTACGTTTGACAAGACGCTGTTCATCCTCGAGAGATGATACGAAACTCTAGCAATCAAAATTAATCGTTCATCGACTCACGGAGAATAGTACAATTCGGTTTGTCAAAAAATGAGCAATATTATCCTGATTAAAGTACCGATTGATAATGATGATTTTTTTAAACGATTGTTCGAAAAGATTTCCAAGCTTTGATGCAATCGATATTGAGGTATATTTTACACCATTCTGACAGGACGATACAGCGCCGTTAGCTGCAGCTTTATAGGTCAATATACGGTACGAAGGTAGGCCTGTCTCAGGACGGTTGAAGCCGAGTGCTTTTTTTGCTGCTACCGAACGTGAACCAAGTGCCGACCTTCCTTCCTAGCGAGTTGGTGGTGCCTTGTCCGATCATAGTCGGCATCTCGTACGTTGACTCCCTCTTATATGTTTTATCTGCAATATCAATTTAGTTTAATTTTATCTGCATTATCAATTTAACATACAGATAAAAATTAAAATAAAGTAAAATTAAATTAATATAAAAAAATAGTGTAAGCTCAGGTTGTCTTTTATAACTTAACCGACTAGTGTGATAAATACGGTACATATGATAGCAAACTTACTGCGAGGTTTGATAGGTGGTCTAATCTGCAGTCTGCTAGCGGCTAACCTGGCGAGATGTCTGGCCGCCGCTGGAAACTCTAATCCATCGTTCCTATCCTTGGTTACCAGTCTCCGTTCCTCGGCCATCGCCGTCAGCCACCGTCGTTTCTCCTCCGCTGTACGACAACAGAAGAGCAACCACTTGTCCCGGACGCAACTGTATATCTTCAAGCAGTGCCTCACTGTCACCCCCGATTGAAGATCTACGAATGAAGTTGATTGCTGAGCTTTATTTTTATTTTTTTATTACAAATCGCAGTCATCATATTAATGATTCATTTTCGTAATTATTTAATAACATCAGTCTATAAGATAAAACAGCATTTTTTAAAACTACATCAATTTGCTCTCATTTTTATTTTCACGTTATCAAGAAATATTTTTCAATAATTAAAGCTATTGATAAATATATCAATAGTTTGTTACCTTTTCCATCTGGTACGTCAATGACCTCGCTGGTGTCGAGATAGATGCGACCTTTGTAGACATAAGTGTTGCGCTTGAGAATGTCTTTTTTGCAATAGACCAGTTGATGATCAAAGAGGAACAGCGTGATATTGTTCGTCCACATGCCGGTCTTCACTCTCATCGCCTCACCTTGATAAATCAGTTGCGACGAAACTTCTATGAGATCCTCACCCTGCGATCGATTATTAACCGATTTTAAACGTGTATTTCGACAATTGCTCTAACAAAAGACTCGCACAAATTAACATTACCGAGATGATCCGAAACGCAGGCGAATTTCAAAGATAGTTTTATCTCTACAATCTCGAGGAGTAACGCACCTCCCAGCCTTCTACGCGCATTTGCCACGCGGCCAACTTCTCCAAACTCTCCATCCGTCTTTTTCTCTCGTTGATCAGTACAGCAACGCCTCTCATCGCTTCCAAGGCCTCCTGAATCTTGTGATAATCTGGATGATCGGTTTTCGTATACTTCAGTAGCTCCGCCAATTGAAGGGGATACTTGCATATTCGTTGAACGGGCGTCAATAGATACCCGTCCAAGGGGATCTCTATGAGGCCTCGCATCAGCCGACAAGCTTCGAAGAATTTGCTGTAACGATTGTGCTGGTAGAGCTCCTGCAGCGTCGCTATGGCCATCGGATGACTGTTGCAGTATTCGGAATACATGCGAAAACCCGCTCTCTAAAAGAATCATAACATGTCTCGTTTTTTAATTTTATCTAAAAACATTTAAAAACATCGGCTTAAGTTTTTATTAGCGAAGAAAAAGAATTCGATGATGCTACTGACATGATTGAGGAAGCATTCGCCGACGCAACTTTTGTGCGGCGCGTTCCAGTCGATGCAAGCCTCGAGATCCTTCAAAAATTCGGACTGAAAATCCAGAAGCTCTTCCAGGTTGATGAAGATCGATTCAATCTGTTCTTCGGTAAACATATCCGCGCGTCTCCGACATTCCGCGATATAGCCTTCGGCTACATCGCGAAGGACCTTGACGAAATCGCGCTCGGTCTGGACGAGCTCGCGGACAACGCTTGTCCTCACTTGCTCGTTCGAGAGCAAGGAAACGCTCGTTCGTCTTCTCAGTTGAGTACCCGAGGATCCTCCTGAGGCTATCGCGGCCAAACAATCTTCCACTGTATCCTCTTGATTCACTCGTAACTGCGGACATATTTTTATCGAATTAATTCTTAGTTATTATATTATTCATATCAATCAAAAAAATTAAATTAATATAAAAGACACATAACTATCATATACTTATATATAAAATATAAAATAGAATTAAAAAATAGAAAAAGATGAAAGAGTAGATATATTAATCTAGAACTACTCTAGAAATAAGAGGCGCGTAATTTATTAAAATTAAACGAACTGTCATTCAAAAATATTTACCCTAACAAAAGCGGCCGGAAACCATCCATGTTCTCCTCTGCAGCTGCCCCACCACCAATCTTTGTCTAACGTATCGAGGACGTCGATGACATCCCCGGCACGAAAAGCTAGTTCCTCCGGTTCCATCGCCACGTGATCCCAAACAGCTTCAGCCAAGATGACGATTTCCTCGTCCATTGTTTGCTCAAATGATTTCTTCTTATCCGTCAAGGAAGCGATCGAGGATTCGGAGTCGGACATCATTTCGTCGTCGGATGTGCCGGCTCTTCCATCCTGCTCGTCCTCGGATAACACATTGCCACCGGGTAATCTTGCGCCTACTTTTGAAAAATAGAAAATTTCGTTGTAATCAAGGTAAAATAATGTATATATAAATCTATCAGCCTTAGTGCGATATAGATCGCAAATCGAATGTTGATTCAATTTTTAAATTTAAATATAAGTAAAAAAATGATTTATTAAATTATTATTAATTTATAAAATATTAATTATCAATATTTAATTTATAAAATAATAATTAATGACCACATGTGATTTTGTTACGCTTTTAAAAGCTTGAAAAATTGATACGCTTTTAAGTTATTAACGCTTTATTAATATGTATTTTTTGATAGAAATTAGCTGATTTAAGCTTTAATTTGCTAAATAAATTTTAAAATAATAGTATGTAATAAAAATTAAAATAATAATATGTTTTAAATAATATGTTATAATACTTTAAACTTGATTAACATTTTTGACAGAAATTAGCTGATATCTGTCAAAAAATATTAATAGAGAATATAAGATATTTTTTGACAGAAATTAGCTGTAAATAATAAATGTTATAATAAATAATAAATGTTATACTTTATATCCTCGATTAATATTTTTTGATAGAAATCAGCTGATAATTGTCAAAAATATTAATCGAGTTTAACACTTTATTCAAAATTTCTTTGCCTAAAATAATAGATGTTGAAGTTAGAAGAAAAGAATCTCTCAAACTTGGCTTTTTTCAAAGAAATGTTTTTCCTTTTAATTCTTTTCAAAAAATTTTTTAAATTTAGAACGACAGTCAATAAATATGACTGATATGCGGTGTGTAGAAAATATCCTGCAACGTAAACGATATTCCACTGGATTTTCAGCTCGTCAGCATCCCTCTGCAAGTTATTGCGACAACAAGCACGTGATCTCCGGCCAAAAACCGTCCACCGTGCAGCATTTGAGCGGGAAAAGAATAAAACAATTTTCATGAGATTTCTCGAGAGATGGTAACCGAGTTCGTCGGAGTACCTCCTAAAAATTCAGTTAACCGCGAACGGAAATTGATCGCACCCATGAGAGCCACCCCTTGAAAAGAGGGTGGTGCTCTTACGAGAGGTTCTCTCCGGCAAACTCGTTCTTCACTACTTGTAAAACAGAAGCGTTTTCACACGAAGCAACGTTTTTACAAGGGTACGGAAATCATCACGATAATAATTATACAGGGACATATTCCTATTCCTTACTCTCGCAATTCTTTTGTCTCTTTTTTTTTCTTACGAGGGTGCATTCGACGGCAACACAGTGTGAATGTCTCAACAATGCCTTTACGGGGGATACATGCTCTGAATATTCTTCAAGGTGATGTCTAAAGAGAAATCAGAGGGTCTCTGTAGTACACTGTGCACTAGACGTCATTAAAAGGTTGTCTACTGGCGTGAAAAATTTGCCTACCCAGCATATGTGTTTTAACATGTATATAATTTCGATTTGTAACACGAAATCAGTTGCTTTTCCAAGGGCAAAAGAATATAAAAAATTAATCGTGATTATTTTGCTTTTATATTATTATTAAAAATTTTTTGTTTGTGCATTTTAACAGCTTGATTTGGCGAATACGATTCTTAATGTCACAAAACACGAGAAACGTGCGACCTCGCGTTCTCCAGACGCGATAAGAGGACGGTTTACGCATGTGCTCGGTAGGCAAAACAAAAGGAACGTGATCTACGTTAGAGAGTTCAAAGTCTATCTTTGAATTAAGAGAATAGTGTATAATAATATGAAGAAAAAACTCACCTGAAGTTTTGGTGCGCATTAGTGGAGAGAGCTGATTGATTCCCAGTGGCTGACTAAGCGAACGTCTCAGATTTGTCCGAGAACTCCTCCCTTTCGCGTTACTGGAGCGCAGGAAAAAAAGGAAACATTAATTCGGTATAAATTCGCTTCCATCACCGCGTTAACGTGCGGCACCGAGCGAAAGGATTCAATAAAAGCGTGTATTCAGGTATTAAGCATATTGGTACAACATTCAGCAACGAATTACAATAGGTAGGTATAATATATGTATATAGATATATATATATATATGTATATATATAATACAACATGACAGGGTATATATATACGTATGTTACACGCGTGGCAGATCAACTTTTTACTGGAGGAAAGATTAAGAGAGAAGGTGGTTTGTTATAATACCCGTTTACCTACCACTAGTCTCCCTCGATTTACTGGAAAGGTTCGAGAACAAAGAGTTTCAGTTTTCCCAAGTTGTCATTTACTTTTCAGGGGTTTGTTGGTTGGAGATGTGAATAATTACGATATAAGTGTCGCGTTTTGTGAGAGGAAGTCAAAATTATTGTTACTGATTCGAAAAATAAAAAAAGCTGCGAGCGCGTCAGGCTAAAAAAGGTTCGGCCGTGCGGCTAAAGAGAGCGAAGTTAATAAGCGTTCAATACGTCTCTCTATTATTTTCTTTCTTTTTATTTTATATTGCCTCTTCATTGCGACACTGCCAGTTTTTCACACTTGCAGTGATAGCTTACTAGTTAGTCTCGATTCTGGAAACTCAGAAAAACGTTGATCTCGAGAGCTCTCGAGTTATTTTATTTATTTATAAATAAGTGTATAAATGGGATCAAAATCTCTTTCTAGTACAGGCTTAAAATATTAAAAAGAAATAGAACATCGTAAAAGAAGAAAAAACTTTTTAATTATAGCTCCTGTCAGAAAATCTTACAATTTCATTAATAGATGGAAAGTAAGTTGAAAAAAATTTTAAATATATATAGTTTAAGATTTCGCCAAAGTTCAATTTAATTGTTCAAATTTCCCTTTAATGAAATTGCTTCGAAAGTATTTCAACCCTTTTCCAATTCCGAAATTTTTACATCAAATTTGCATTTTCCTGATTAAAAGTTTTGCAGTGAAATACCAAGAAAAACATGTAGGGCTCGAGGGCTCGGAGGCAACGATTATCCGGGTTTCTCCCAGCCGTCATAAGGGGCCGTGAGTAATTCGCAGATGGCGATGGTTTAATGAGGCGTACGCGATAAGGGTTTGCTTGAACATTAAACGTATTTGCGGTAACTGAACGCACCTTCTGAGCGTAACGATATCATGGGAAGAGTGCCTCGGGCTGAGTCTGGGCGGCCTCGTCTTGATCGGCGACGGAGTAGACAGCATCCTGCGATAATTGTGAACGTATCCGGATCTGGTGTCCCATTGGAGCAGCCTCTGGCCCCCCAAATCACTGTTCGTGCGACGCACGTGGTTGTGTCGCGACGCGCGACTCTGCAGATCCGCCTGGAATAATTACGTGAATTCTGTTAGCGGATTATTGCAAGTCGCACGCTTAATTAATGCATCGACCGATCGATTTGTCGCCCCGCGATTGGAACGCGCAGACTAAGCGAGTTCCTTCTACAATACTCGAATTAATATGGCACACTCGTGCATTATCAGCAAAATATAAATTAGTAAAAAAATGTTCTCTCCTATAAAAATTATTTAACATATATATCACAAGCGCACTGGGTGTTTTTACCTCTAAAATTAATTTTCTATTTTTAATTTATATATATATATTTTATGTAACTCTTTAGTTCCATAATTAATTGCTGATATTATTCTTCAAGTTCGATAAATGAATTTTTGTGCAAAACGCGATTGATTAAAAGTACACAAAGCAATATATTTAAGCACGTACGAAGTGAAACAAATTTCTCAGATTAAACGACATGAATTAAATCGACGACTGCTCCATATAGACTAATGAGCGCGTTTCCTCTTCTGGTATTCTGGCGCTCGCGATATAAAAACGACTATCACGGAACGGCAAATCTCTTTACGAGCGTGGTCAAACCGTATACAAAGATGACTAATGCTGTCATAAAGAGGAAACACAATTACAATCATAAATTCGATAAACGCCATGTGATTATCATGTCACTATTAATAACTGATGTAAATCATCGTCTGCGCGTCCGAGAGAAAACGGACTCAAAGTACGAAAATAAAGTACTAATAAGGTTGCCATCGATGCGAAAGATCGATTAAGAAAATAATTATTCTAAAAATGTTTGAATTGATCGTGTTTTTTGGGGAACATTTTTGTTGCTATTCTAGTTCTTCGAAATAAAACCTGAGGCGATAATATTAAATTACATACTTAACTTAATCAATATTAAACCGATTTGCATTATAATTAGTTTTATTTCACATATAGAATTATAGATTTTTATTTTAGTTATTTTATATTGAATATTAAATTACACGCTTAACGCGTTTAATCAATGTTAAACTAATTTGCATTATAATTACTTCTACATCAGATATTATAGTGTATCGTGATACGCAACTGACGTTTAAACGAATAAATAGAGCAATTTCCTCAGTGATTAAAGAAGCGTTGAATTGTGCGAGCTGCAATGGAGAGACGCGGAAAGGAAAAACAAAGCTTACCTTGAACTTGTCAATCAGTATCTGGTTGATGAGCTCGGACTGGGGCCGCGATTTATCGGCGACTCGTCTACGAAGAGCCGGAGGGCTGTCGGTATCGTCGGGAATATCGTCCGTGTCGTGGGACTCGGAGCTGTCACCACCCCCCATCATTCCTCCGCCACTGCCACCAGTCAATGCTCCACCAGATACCATCTATGTCACATTTGTGAGGAAACGATATTTACTCCCTTCATATATATATACGAAGCAGTTTCTTCGTCGAGTCGAACAACATGAAAGAGCCCCGAGAGACATCAAATCTCGTTTAGAACGTTCAAAAGGTGTCTGAAGGACATTTGAAGGATTGAGACGTTTTCTTAAATGTCTGGAAGACACGGACTTACTTTGCACGTCGCTTTTTTTCATCTTTCAAACACGTCCCGAGATATCACTCGAATGAAGCTTTCTTGAGCTTTCGCGTTTTTCGAAGAAACGAAGAGACTTTCGTGTTTCTGTGTTTTTCTCACCTCGATTTGGATACCGCTGTCTCCACTGTTGCATTTCGCATTTCGGGCGGCCTTGTTACCTTTTTTCCTCTCCTTGCTACTTCTCCAGACGAGTGGGCCGAATCTGAACATATTCGGTGAGTTCTGGTCAGCTCAAGTATTTCTCGTATCGTTATATCAAACGTGGAACTCAATTAGATTTATGCTTATATAATAATCAGATTTTAATAAAATCAGTTTAATCTTAGTGGACATTCGGGACAAGAGGATGTGTGAAATTTTCTTTCCATGATATCAAATAATCTTCATAAAAAAAGTTAAGATTTAATATTACTAGTATTTCGATCTGTCATTAAATCAGTTAATAAACTTAAGATTGACAATTTTGTAGTAATCTTATTTAGACGAATGAAAAAAATATACAGAAAAATATGAAATGCATATTTCCGAGAGAGACTGATCTGATTAGAAATAATGTAAATACGATCCAGTTGTTTTTCTTTACGATAATCCCGCATTGAACTCTATCAAGATCAGCTCTCTCCGCGCTGGAAGCTGGAATAAAAAATTCCTTTCACCCGCCGGAAATGATCTGCGCTTCCAGCACCGCGATCTTCCCAGGATCTAAATTTAAAATCATGCTCAGAGGAGGGTGTTAAAGAGAGGGCGATATACGAACCGGAATTTCTGGTCATTGCTAGAGTCGTCTTTGTGCTGGTTGCTCTGCTCGGAGGTGACGGGAGGCGTCTCCGTGCTCTCCTCCTCGTCCAAGGGCCCCGAGCCGTCATTGTCCTCCGCGGGACATTCCTCGTTGCTCTCCTTGCTGCCCTTCTTGTGGAACCTCAGCGAGAAGCTCTTACGGAATTTCTGCAGCACGCTCTCTTGCTGGCTCTGCGCGCGATGCGCAGCATTCTGACTTCCGCCGGTGGGCACGTTGGCGACATTCAGGACAGAAGACGGTTCCTGCAACCTGGAATGGCTGACCAGAGGAATCGTCGCCTCGGCCAGGGGATGCTCGGTCGTCACGTGGCCTCTCCTCGTCCCATCGTCTTCTTCGTCCCCGGACCACTGTCGGCTGCAAGCAACATTTTCGGGCTCTCATTTCATTCACCCTCTTCAGCAGCAAGGTAAGTCGGATCAGAGGAATCGACGAGAATTCTATTTTTCCAATCTTCCAAATCTAACAATCAATTCTGGAATTAGTGAGTTCGTTTCCGTTAAACTTTGCGTTCCTTTTAATCCCTTATAAGATGATTGGAAATTTTTTAGAAATTGAATTTCTTCTATAGATACTGAATTAAAAATTTACTGTATCAGATTCCGAGCATGTCAAGTAAAATTGAAGTGGTTTTTATGTCTGACTCGACACAAATTTTTGTATATAAAAGAAATGAATTTCGAGAATGTCCAGTTTCATAAGACTGTTAATAAATAAATTCTCTCTGCGATCCGTCTTATTATATTTATTTTTTATGAAGTTTTATTTTGGACCAACCGATGGTCCCCGGGCAAAATTGACAAGAGACAGCTTCGCGCACCACCTCCCATATTTTTATTGCGACGTAGAGAGACAAAGCGACTCGCATAAAAATTCAACGTCGTATCTCACTACGTGGAAGACGCGAGGAAGATGCGGGTTCGATAAATCACGAACGTGCAACACGGTCGAAAGTGCAACGGGAATGCGTGCGCGATCGCGGCTGACAAAGTGACTATCTGAAACTGACAAGAGTAGCGGAAGCACGTTCGTCGGCGAAAGAGGAAACCGGCCAAAATATTTCGCAAACGTTTTGCGGGTAAAGTTGCATTAATCGCTTTTTTTCCGCAAAATTACCAGCGTGGCAATTTTATTTCCTGCGACGTCGGAACGTTGTCTTCCACGCCACAACAAGTGTACGAATTACGTCGTCCTCGCGCTAAAATGTATAAATATATCTCGTAATACGATCCACGGGATGCACCGCGGTGCAGCGTTTCGGTGCAATTAATATGGTAGAATTGTGCGCGAATATACTTTGTAATAGGCCGCGAGGAAATATTTAATGACGTTAATTGTTGCACCTCGCAGTTGTTGGTTCTCTGCGAGGGAAGTATTCTCATTGTATTAATTATTATTGTGTAGATATTTTAATAATCTACGCAGAGGCGTAATTGCTATTAATATCGCAACGTTAATGAAGTACTGTGTTAATGAATTATATGCAACGTTTCTCGACTCTCTAATTACAATAATATTTAAGGAAAATTTATGTCCAATTTACTAACAAATCCGTCGTTAAAATTAAGAGTAAATTTTCCCAATTTTAGGATATTTTAATTAATTGGTTAATCTTTTCTTAGTAAAAATATTGAGAAAAATAACATAGTCACACACATTTCACTTTTTTAAATATAATAAGTTTTAAATTAAAATTTAAAATATAAAATCTCTTGAAATTAGCTGAAAAATAATTTTTTTCCTAAAGTTTGATTAGCTGAAATAACTTGATAATTTATTTTAATTAACTTTAATTTTTTTAAAAATGTGAGTAATTTAACGAAATATCTTTTTTCGACAAATATTCAACATTTTAAATCTGTCACATATTTGATAATTCTGCGATGTGTCAAAAATGACTGAATATTTCCAAATTGTACAAACGGAAAGTCTTGTAACAATCTAAATATAACTTTATAAAGAAGTAATTATGTGTCACAATGGATGGACGTGTAATCGCCCGATTGTGAGTCAGTTTAATCGGAATCACGCACCACCTCATAAAGGATATTTGTCACAGACGAGTGCTTTCCTCTTGCGCCAATCCTTTATCCTTCCTTGTCTGCGAGCGTAATCCCTCGCACGTAAAGCCGCATCCTGCACTCTCTAGTAAAGTCCAGTGTCACTTTCTATACTGCAGCGTCGTTACGACTCGTGTCACATTATCGCGAAAGCCATTTCAATATAAACCAAATCTCAAAATTCAACGGATAACAAAAACGTGCGATTGAATCGTTCGCGAAAAAAAAAACGAGAAAAAACCCATCGAAAATCCGGACAATAAAATAAATTCCAGAATCTCCACTCCTGCGATAATTTCGTGTTTCGTGACAGAAATAATAATTTTTAACAATGATACCGATTCGAAATAAAAATCACTTGGCGTACAATTTTCCCCGTAAATATACCGAGAGACAGAGTCACTTATAAGACACTTTTGATAAAAAAAAATATCTGGCAACCGCTTAAAACGTATAAGAAGCGCAGTGGTCGACGTTCCACTGGCGACTGAGCTCTCGATCTCGATGCACCAAGAGTCTACGATCATGTGTGTGTGTGTATGTGTGTGCGGGCGTGTACCCGATTCGTGGGCTCTTCTAGGAACAGATTTTGGAGAGTCGATCGCATCGGGTCGCATCAGGTACATGACGAGGGATGCGTGGCCTCTTACACTTCTTCCACTCTCTCTCTCTATTTTTCACTTCTTTTGGCGGCCTTCCACAAAAGGTACCATTTATCCATGTAGTGACAGAGAACCTGCCCTTCGTCCTTTTCTTAATCAGTAGGACGCCGACTTGCTTTCGGAAAACGCATCAGCGTTTGATGTCTATACAGATTATGCAGAATGCTTAAATTTTCTGTGAGGTCTCTGAGAAAATTCGGAAAATCGATTCTATAATAAATATCCCTCCATTTTGACACGTAGTTCTACTTCTGAATTTTACCGACGTTTGTCCAACAAAACAATTTCACACAAGGGTGAGAAAATGTATATATCTCTATACATACAGTTCACGAAATTGATCAATTTAAAGATTTCGTCAAATCTGCTATTTCTATAAATAAATGAAAAAGGAAGAGAGAACATACTTATTTTTAAAATAATAAGTTATTAAATAATAATAATTAATACATTTTTTTCTATTTCTCGAGTCTATAAAATTTACTATCCAGTTCGTTTAGAAATATTTATTTAGTCTGCTTCGTTATATGGTATACCGTTTCACTTCTTTGACACAAGAGAGACATATTTAATATTAATACGCTAAAATAAACTAGGAGTGGAGTCGTCTCGAGTACAGAGTTAGTTAAATGCCATTACAACGTCGGAATGAATCAACTTCAGCACGAAGTTGAAGGAAGATATCTCTCGTATCTGTTCTGCCTTATCAAAATGCACGACCCTTCTTAGCGACAAAGTGGAAGATGTGGAAGATTCTTCACCGGGGAATAGAGAAGCGCTTGGATAAAAAGCCAAGTAAGGTCTTTTTCTACACAGAGCTTCATAATTAAAGTGTCCACGGTCACTTATATGTGTGGGCTCGTGTATATAGATGTCAATGCACTCCAGGTAGGTCATTCGAAATAATGCGCACCTTCTCGATAAACATCTCTCTTTCTGCGACACGCACATATACATTCGAAGAGATTGATGAAAAAAAACGCGGAAAGCGCGGCATCCTCTCTCTGAAACCTGGACAACCTTTGACGCGGTCTACCTTTGTCCCCCAGGCATCAGCGGGACGTTTTTTAATCATTTCGAGGAGGTCTTCTTCCGACAAAGTCACTTCTGGGAGGTCCCGTTTCCTTCTCCAGAAGAAGATATCCTCGCGGCGGTAACGAGAGAAATGTAATCGCGCGATGAAAATGCAAAGCGTTTCGTGTTTTCAATTTACTCCGAAGAAACGACGCTATCATATCATCTTTTAATTGTCCCGCTGCGACATCGACCTCGTTTTGTATAGTTTCTCGTGACCTTGTCACGCGCGACAGTTTTCTCAACTTCGTCGTGATTTTTTTTCTCGATTCGCAGTTCATGGAACGAGATAGTTGACATCCAATAAACGATTTCGGTGCCCTTTTCTCGACAAGGACGAATAAAAACGGTGTCATCGATTTTTTTACCGCATACACGATCTTTAATAGACTTTTGCCACTTTATCTCGTCAAATATTTGGCAAGGTCCCGGAGATAGACTTCAGGTTTATTCGCGTGACACCCCTTTGTGGAAAACAAACATGCAAATCAGCGTAGCAAGAATCAGTCAGATTTATACAAATCCCGTGTGATATTGTGTATATAAATATTTGCATGAATTATATTTGATATCAAAATTTTCCTGTATAAGCAAAATTAATATTAATGAATAAAACCCCCGCTTTATGTACATTTGATTTCGAATCATTTAGTCAATTAAATTTTAATTGGATATTTGAGCACAATATAACTTATTGTTGAATTTATTGAAATATATCGTATATGCCGTATAATAATTTCAAACGGAAAAATTATTGCTATAGTAAATTCGCAAAGTAAACAAAATTATTGATTTATTTTACTAGATATGTACGTGTTTGATTTTCAGAGAGAGAAATGGAGGGAGAATGTTCGAATGCATATTAAAAAGTCTTAATAAATATACATAGATCGCTATCTCGACAACTTTGAAAGACTCTTCGATATTTCAAGTACGTCCTCTCCTAATAAATTATTTTTTTCACGAACTTTTCCAATTTCTTATATATAAATTCGACTTATTTATATTTCTCGAGGAAATTTTCAGGCGAAATAAATTCACAGCTTTGGGGAGAATATCATTATCGTCACGTGTACGGAATATCGGTCCGATATAGTCACAACCAGTGTTTGCTGTTATCCAAATAAAATTATATAGATGATTATCTAGATGAAATTTTGGCGTCATCTTATCTTTATAAAATAATAAAAATATGTATTATCTATATCTGCATATCTTAGCTGAAAAAAGTATTATTTTTACTAAATTATCTAGAATAATGTTCAGATAATGGGTTGGTTTAGAATCATAGCATATAAAAATATTTAAGATTTAGTATAGAAGGAGTGAAAGCGATAAAAACTTATAAATAAAAATATAAATATTTATATGAATATTAATATGAATATTTTTATCCCTTTATATTTTACTTTTTTTACAACTGTATTTGCATAAGCGGTCTTGAAAATAATATTATTTGAATGAGTCACTATATAATTTTCTCTAGATATATTTAAAACAAAATTACATATTTTTATCTCATCTTTATCCAGCTAATTTTAAAATTATTTACGCACAACACTGGTCATAACTATCGCGTTCGATGCGCGAGAGGGCTGATCATTTACGATTATTGCTTGCAGCTCCAATTTCAGCGGAATCGTACAATGCGTTAAGCACAAACAAAGTGAATAGATTTTATAAGCCACCTGCAAACACGCGGCGGTCTTATTTATGGGAAGCAAAAGCGGAGCTATATCGGTAGAATAGCCAGTCAGCCGCGGTGTCGAGGGAGATGGAATAAAAATTCTCACCGCCACCTTTGTCGTGACCACCCTTCGAGTCGCCCTTTTTGAGAAAACACGATCTCCCTCGGGAGAACGCAAGATGAGAGGTTACCACCCGCGCGACATTTTTACGCGCATATTTTTACACATTTCTACGTCAGAAGGCTTCTATGTATGTTGAGATAATATTTTTTTTTTTTTATATTGATGCAATTTTATAATGCAGCGTTTAAGTTGACCGTAATTTTGCAATCTCACATTATGAGAAAAATTAAAAGAAATTTATAAGAAGTATACATTAAAGATCTAGACATATTAAAATAAAATCTGACACACTTTCAATAACTTTAGAAATTGGGCTAAACTTTTGAATGTGCGAATATAATAATTCTATATATCGAAGAGAGATGATGTTTTTATTATATTATTATATTATAATATAGTTTTATTATATTATTCAATTTGTAAGAAGACAAACCGATTTTCTAGGATAATTAATTCGTGAACGCCAATGCTAAGTAAGCCAGTTTACGATAGACTCTTACCTGTCATGGTTTCTATCTAGAAGTGCCGGTGTGCTGGACGCTTTGATCCTCCGTTGAGCTTTGCTGAGACCGGGAATCCGCCTCCTCTCTCTTCCGGCGTGGCCACTCGTTCTATAATCGTGCAAAGGCTGCAACAAGACATTAACAAATCGAATAGCAAATTGATGAAGTATATTAGATGACGATTCAGATAATTTCAGAACAATATAATTCATTTAACGATAAGAGATATTTCTCTGCCCCTCCTTCTTCTTGTACATATAGCAATAGACTGACAAGGGGGTCATATTTTCAGATGCAAGATGAGGTGCGCGCAGGAAGCATGCTTAGGAACGTACACCAGTGATGATAATTGATAACCCGAGAAAGTTGCGTGTACACCTTTCCCACGATTTGACTAGGTACGCACTAGAATGTGCCTGATCATTCTTATATCTTTGTATTAGTATCGATATCGCGAGGGTACTTTGACCGGGTTACTCAATATTATATTGCTAAACTTCGTTACATGTAGGTCACCAGGCAACTGGTTTTATTTCAGATATCGCCGATTCGTCGTAACGATTTTCTCAACGCTGTCAATCTTTATGGTTAATGAATCAATAATAAATAGCAGAATTTTTATTTTATTTATAATTCTTCTATCGAAAAAATGCAGAATGATTATTTATCACGATTTTATTAATCACAAATACATGAAGAGTTTTTAATAATAAATTTATTAATGAATTGAATGGTATTTTTTGTCAAAGCTCTGAAACAATTCTTTTTTAATTATACATCAAATGCGTAAGTGCATACGACTGATAATAATTAATGACATAGATGTAATAGTGGTTCTATTAATTGTTCTTCTCGTTGTAATTTGCTGATCTATTCGTATTATCGGCTCGATGTGCGCATCGTTGTAAACTACAGTTTATCCGCACGATAATTAACAAAAGCATTGATTTCGCGTTGGTTTCTATGCATCCTTTCATGAGTTCTCGCGTTAGATGGAAAATGAAAGGGGTGCAAACGCTATCGTGCCATCCAAGCTTGATTATATCTTTGCAGCTGTCTCGCCACTATGCGCGACGTTTTACTAATTAAGATTCCCACGCGGCGAGAAAGCGATGCATAATAATATATAAGATATATATATATATATATATATATACATATTAGAGAGTGATAATATGTAATTATATATAAGATATTTAATTACAATGTACATATATATATATATATATATATATATATACATATGTATATATCTATATATATATATATATATATATATACATATGTATATATCGCGTTGACATGCATTCTTGAAACATCTCGCTACAATTTAAATGAGATTATGGAAATTAAATCGAGCCTTATTAAGCGCTCCTCTTTATTTCAATGGAAATTTTGTTTAACAAAAAAACTGTCATACATTATGACCTCGGTCTGCTTCTTGCCACGTGAAAATTCACGTTAATTCTATCGAGCAATCTGTGTTCATGAGAATATTTTCCAAGAGTTTTTTTCCGCGCCGCGGCGGAATTATCCCGTAGAAATGTCTAATGCGCGTTCAACCTGCAATAAAATAATTACGGCTTTCACGATCGCTTTTGTTCGCGTACGATATTTCGCGCATATCATTGTCGAAAGTGCGTATACTGTGAGATTTCTCGCTTCGAAACATCCGTTTCCCGTTCGGTTATATACGCTAACGCATACCGTAAACGTGGGACGTCAGTGTATATGCGACACGACACATCGCGACGCGAACGTTAACGAACTGACGCACACTGCGGATGATGCATGTGGGTCGTCGGCAGCCGGTCGCGGTGCACCACAGTCGCGTGCAGCACAGAGGATGCATCTCTACGCACGCATCCGCAGCACCGAGACCCGTCGTTCGCAACGCGACCCCCGTTATTCATCGTCTCGTCGATCGATCATCACTTCCGCATAATTATCGATTCGGGAATTCGTGACAATTTCAGGGTAGATTACTTAAATTCCTTCGACGAAATATCAGCTTATTCCTCATGCGACGTCTATAATGGGTTTAATTTTTTTAAATTATATCTAGATAAAAATGAGATAAAAATATGTAAATTCATCTTACAATTAGAAAAGATAAAGATAATTTTGAATTTAAATATGTTTAGATAAAATTATTTAGCGATACTTCCAGATAATTGTTTTTAAAATCGCTTATGTAAACATCGGGAATTCGTGACAATTTCGGGGTAGATTACTTAAATTCCTTCGACGAAATATCAGCTTATTCCTCATGCGACGTCTATAAGGGGTTTAATTTTTTTAATTCTATCTAGATAAAAATGAGATAAAAATATGTAAATTTATCTTACAATTAGAAAAGATAAAGATAATTTTGAATTTAAATATGTTTAGATAAAATTATTTAGCGATACTTCCAGATAATATTGTTTTTAAAATCGCTTATGTAAACATAGTTATAAAAATAATTATAAAAGAAATATAAAAATATAGTCATATTTTTATTTATAAATTTTTATCGTTTATTGTTTAAGTTCTACTACTTAAATATTTTTATGTACTAATGACTCTAAAGCAAATTATTTACTCGTTATTCATTGTCTCGCCGATCGATCATCACTTCCGCATAATTATTGATTCGGGAATTCGTGATAATTTCGGGGTAGATTACTTCGTTCGACGAAATATTAGCTTATTCCTTACGCGACCTCTCTAAGGGGTTTAATTTTTTTTAAATTATCCCTTCTTCTATCTTTTTCCTTCCTCATCCCAATATAAAAAAGAGTGCCTTTACTATTTCTATATAGATAAAGATTTTAATTATCTAGATGAGATGAAAATATAAAAATTCATCTTAATTATCAGATGAAGATAATATATCTATCTTTGAATTTAAATATATCTAAATAAAAGATAAAATTACATAGCGATTTAACTAGATAAATTTTCAGATAATATTATTTTTAACCAAAAAAATTTTTTTTGGATTTATAAATATTTAATAATAAATGCCTAAAAGTTTTAAAATGATCTGCTATGCAGTTTCCATAAAAAAATCTGCAAAAACCTTGTTTTTTAACTTTTTAAAGTATAGACGCCGCCCTTAAGGAGAGCCGTAACGCATGACGAATGAAACGCATTAGCGTAATGTATATCAACCCTTAATTCCGGGAAAATAGGTAGATGGTCCTTATATAATCCTCCGTAATTGGGGATATCAAATGCACCAAGCTGTTGCCGTCAAGAGCATTCTCTTTACGAATATGTTACGAAAAGAATAAAATTACAAATCCAGCAGATGAAAAATGGAGATATATATGTCCAGGAGTTGCGGATTAATGGATTCTTTGAACTGTTATTGACAGAATTGAATTTCTGTATTTGTCTCTTCGAAAACCACTCTCTCGTCGTTTCTTGTCAACAAGTGTAAAAAAATAGAAGCCAACGAAATTGGACGTACGATTGTGTTGCGTTTCGAATTACGCATAAACCGCGAATGTCGCCGAAGCCCGGAAGATTAACGGCGTTGCTTGTGGTCGGCTTAATTAAACCCGGGAATGTGTGTCTCACGCGACTAACTTAACCGTTGTATGGCAGTAAATTTGCAGGTTTACGGTGATGCGCTAGAAATAGTCATTTTACGACTTGCGATATATAATTTTATAGTATCTCATTCGATACGAAATATATATGCATCAATCTCATCCTAGAAATCAACTGCACTGATCTTCCTCTCTCGGAGAAGACAAAACATGAAAATTCGTTCCAATATCAATATTGTTGAATTACTTTTGATTTTTATGCACGTAGAAAAATCAATATTATATAAATATTAAAAGTTCTTTACATCTGCTCATTCTTAAAAAAAAAATATAGACTAAATTATTATTAATAATATTTGTGAACTGCAATTTTTATCGATCACTTGAAAAATAAATATACGAAGAAAATAATTTTTTTATCAAATGCAAACGAATAATTTACCAAACAAAAATATCAGTTTGTTGCCGTCATTAATAATGTATCACTGATTCAATTAATCTCTCTGGCATACATATAGCGCACGCGGAGCCATTGTTATTCGACGTAGGAATAAAAAAAAATGATCCTTCCGGGAGAACGGATTAAAGTACTTACAGAAACTGGAGCTGTGTGAGATGTGGCCGCTTCCTGCACGCGATGAAGTCTGCTGGGGCTAGGGCTGGATCGCTGGGACTCGTGTCCGCGATGCCAAGATGCCTTGTTGCTGCTGCAACATATGAAGACATTTTATTTTTTATTGTAATTACAATTTTTTTTTAAATTAATAAACATCAGTGTTTGCTGTTATCTAAATAAAATTATATAGATGAAACTTTGCGGCGTCATCTTATCTTTATATAGATCATAAAATTATGTATTATCTATATCTGCATCTTAGATAAAAAAAAGTATTATCTTTACTAAATTATATATCTAGAATAATTTTCAGATAATTTTGGTTTAGAATCATAGCACATAAAAATATTTAAATTAAACGATAAAAATTTATAAATAAAAATATAAATACATATTTTTTACATCTTTTTATAAAAATTACATTTTTTTATAACTGTGTTTACATAAGCAATCTAAAAAATTATCTAGACAAATCGCCATATAATTTTACCTTTTATCTAAATATATTTATAAAACAAAATCATCTTCATCTTATCTAAGGTGAATTTACATATTATCATCCCATCTTTGTCTAGCTAATTTCAAGATCATCTAAGCACAACACTGTTTAACATAATTGAGATTCTTCTCATGATAAATTTTGAAAAATCTTCATGTTTTACAATTATTGTTAACTTATTTGAGCTTATAAGAATTGACGATAAAATAATCATGCACAAGTCTTCATCTCTGCATTGGTAAATAATTATATGCCCAGAGCTGATAGTGAATAAGAGAGATTCAAAGGCTTATTCATCAATTCGCGAACTACTTACGTTCGCAGTGGGATGGTAGACGTAAGTATCGTTATCTCAATTAATTCACAGACACACATACACATACATATAGAATTATCGTGTATTATCGCTATCAAATTGCAGCGCGGTCGATAGGCACGATGCGCCATACGGATGATTAATCAATAATCACGACGTCGCTTGAATCTTAATTAATGGGGTCGGCGAAGCAAGGTAGAGCTGAGCAGATGTAACATACGTCTCGGAGTTACATTTCGTTATCTTAGTAGGTCACATCCGAGCGCGGTAAGACCTGAGAGGCAAGTTTCACGTAATAAAATTGTACCAAATTAATTCGCGTACTTGTTTCAATTATGTGGAAAAATTATTTTCCATTTCGCATTTCGTATAGAATGTACGTAAACGTGCATGTAAATTCAATTATGTAATGCCTGTCATTTTGCAATAATTTTATTTATTAATATTAACGTACGTGTCGCTGAAAATTTCGATGTTGTTCACCAAAACATGGTCATTATATATGTATATGTAATGTGACCTGAAAACATATCGAGAGTGTACGCGTGCTCTTTTAATTATATGAAAATCATAAAATGACGTATTTTCTCATCGAAAAAAGACCTATTTAAAAATCATATATTGAATCATATGAAAATAATATCCGATAAATAATTTTCAGATATTGAAAAAAATCTCTATGGGGCAATTCAAATATTTATATTTATTCAAAAGAAATTATTATTAAATATATAATATATAATTTTACTTTATGTAATAAATTTTGTAATTTTTTTTATTACATTCTTATTTGAAACAAAAAATAGAACTTTGTTATCGAATTGTGAATTTTAATAATTTATTTTCTACCGTATATGTGTACGAATATATTATATTACATGAAATCGTATCACACTGCTGAATAAAATGCGTGGGAATAAAACGAAAGTATTATATAATTAATAAATGCGCTTTCCTTTGTGTCGAACGGGGACGATTCGGTCGCCATCGATCGCGACTTTCGCGACCGGACTAGAAAAACATTTTCGTAATAAATTACGACGGAGCACCATGGCTTATCATTCTGACGCGATAATGGATGCGATGTTGTAAGTTATAGGGTCAAGGGTCGTCAGGTACGATTTGTACCGACGTTCGTTTCGTCGATAGCCCCTCTTACAAAGACGGGCGATTAATCGTCCCGATTGTCGAGCCGCGAGACAATAATCTTAAGGTTACGTATATAACACGTCACGTGGATTCGGCTTTCTATTTTCGAATCTGGCAGTAATGCTTACGTACGCACAATTGCGTACATGCGAATGCAATTTCTCTAATATTTTCTCCTTACAATACTTATTCTCATTACAGATATCGAACTCGTCTGCTTTCTCCCAAAGTTCCGAACGAATCGCGAGATCGTTTTGATAAATAAAGAGCGAAGACACTCGCGTTTAATCTGCTGGCTCGAATTTAAGGACACAAACTTGGTGGTCCACGAGAGAATTAGCGAACAAATGTCGAGATATTTTCCCACAGCGACGCGTTATTCGCGCGCATAAATACGCCTCGCGAGTCGTACTAGAAAATCTACGACGACAGATATGACGTGCCGATCGTCAAAAAAGTCTGGGTGAAAGGCGATAATAATAAATGCGTAGCTCGATCGAACGAGTGCACTCGAGTCGTTCGCGTTGTCGAGGAGAGAAGAAAAGCCTCTTTCCGATAAGAAGAAAGTCCCCCGCGAGATGACGATGGACAAGTAGCGACCGCAAAAGCCGAAGGCAGGTCACGATGCGCTTAAGCACCCGAGAGTTCATCGATTTATTCCACTTTCTATATATACATATGTCGAACGAACGCGCGAATCGTCTTTCCTCGCGCGCGATGGGGAGCGGTTTATTATCGTTCAATGAACGAGGGCGAGATTTATTTAACCCCTTCCTTTTGCGGGAGATCAATTTCTGATGTTGACTCTGCTCGCTGTCATGTTAACCTTCTCTGTTCTTGGCAGAGAGGCGAAGTTGGAAAGCGCTAAAGCTCCCTTAATTGACTGTGCGATTATAAGACTAATATTAATTCGATCATAAAGACTGTAAATCGGTATTGTTAAAAATCAATGTTTCGTTCAATTTGTTATTATACTTATAAATATTAATAGATTTTTGTCTTCAATGTGGTATTCGAAATTGGAAGGAATGAAACGTATTTATCGTGATTTTTTAGGATTTTTTAAATTAATGCATTAATGCCGTGTATGCTTTATTTTCGAATTTCACAAAAGTATACAGTACCCTCCATAAGTATCTGTGTAGATTTTTTGTATCAATAAATCGTAAAATATTTAAATAACATTTTTATTTATCACAGATCGCTGTCATAAATAAAAATGTTATTTAAATATTTTACGATTGTTTAACAGTAAAATGTTAAGTGTTTCCAAACTTGTGAAGATTACTGTATGCAATGAACAACAAATGTCCATTTATAAGACTGTTTTTTGTTAACACGATTAATAATATTTCAAATAATATACTGATAAAAAACATTCCATTAAGTTTATATTCTTGCATGTTACGAATATCTCTAATTAAAGAATATTTCTTTAGAGAATTTTTCTCTTAAACTAAGAGGATCCTTTTGACAGATCTGTGCAGATTTTGTGTATAAATAAATCATAAAATATTTAAATGACATTTTTATTTATAACAGATCGCTGCCATCTAATTCTTTAACTGTAAAATGTAAGATGTTTCATTATTGAGGGTTCTGTATATTAATAAAGATCGATATTTTGTATAAGATATCTATATTTGTATCGAGAGAAGCTTTGACGTAGGTAGTCAGGCAAGTGCACGACTATTATGAAATATGGTACATTAAAGTTTGATGGATGATTACAAAAACTGTCTCACGGGATCCAATATTTACCGTCTGTTCCGTGGAAACTACGTCACCCTCTGTACGGACGAAGGATATTGGCACATCGTGCCTAGTATACGTAAGCGAATACCTGCTTCACGCGATACGTGCTCGCGACCAGGTGCACCGGATCCCTTCCGATCGTGGAAATGCGTCATTTTCACGTGGAAAACGCAAACATCGCCAGCGGTATCAGCAAGGTTAAGCAGTTTTACGTCTGGACTTTAGACGTCCGGTAAATTAATTATTCAGCTTTTAGATATTATTTCTCTCTTTGTATGTTTCTTTATCGCATACAAGATGTATTATAAATAGGTGCGACAAATTTTAGAAGATGATTCTTTGTCGAAAATATTAAGGGGGGTTTTTTATATAAACATATACTGTTATATCTCTCTTTGAAAGAAAAAAAAATAAAAATTTAATTTTTCCCCTTTTTAGAATATTGTAACTCCTCAGAGAGGAATATAACATTATATGTTTATATGCATAAGAAACCTCTCTCTCCTCTCTCCTAAAATTTTTTGCATTTATTTAGATGCACCCTGTATAAAGGGAATTATATTTTAAGAAGGAGCAAAAGATCGTATTTTTTATCTCAAGTTTTAATTTTAATACTTTATAAACGTTTTATTATCTTGTCACTGTACTTATGATAGTTGATCTGATAATTTATAATTAAATTTATCTTTTTAATTTCTTATTCTAAAGAGATAAACGTAAAGCCCTAAAGATCCCACAAATCCAGAAATATTCTAAAATTATCGCAGATAAGTCTTTTATTAATCAACTGTATTTAGTCAATTTTCCTTTTCTGTCTCTTTCTGAATAAAATTAACTCTGAAAAAAAATTTTTTTTGTAAAATACATATATGCAATTGTGATAATAATTTTTTCACGAATTTTCCGATAAAATATGTACATATCTCAATTAATTTTCCATATACATTTCGCGTTATATTAATCTTGTATGAACTTTTACGGAAGAAAAGAGGTAGAGTTAATTCTCTAAACTCTGAGTTTCTATCTTAAATACGAAGGCGCAGACTCGCCATTTTGCCGGAGGCGGCCAAAAATCTCGATACGGCCCTTGTGCTGCGTGGGTGTGTTTGCTGGTGGGCAATAACCGGTCGTAAAATCTTACTGCGGTTTCACGGCGCAGCTTCCCTCAGTTCCAGCTGAGAGAGTCTTACGAATGTACCTGGCTGAGGACTTTTTTCTTCCCTCTCGCTAGGCGCGCTGCTGCTATTCCGCGCCCTGGAGCGTTCAGATTCACGGATGGGGATGCACGATTTTTTACCCTTTCAACGGGCATAACCATGCGCATTAAATTGATATGAATGAAGATTCGCGTGCGTTCTCCGAATGATCATTT